CCCCCCCCCCCCCCCCCCCCGATACTCGGCAGGGCAACCCGACCACAACAACACCCCAACCAAAGGATGACACCAAACGCTTGCTTGCGAAACGACCATATTCTTTAGCGGATAGAGTCGACGAAGAAAGTCAGAAAAAACACCAACGTAGGGTTGTGACTCTTGACACAAAAAACAAATCAATAAGAGCATGCATCGATCCTTGTGACTTGCAGGATTCTCTTGTCTCCGCATTGTTGCCAACTACTATTGTGATCACGGGGTCTGCGGACCTACCATAACACTTTCGTATAGAAACGGCGGATCAAAACCAGGGCCATTCAAGAGAAAACTGAAACATAAAAACACCGACTGCAAGTATCAAGCCTCTTTCGCTCATCTGCCGTCCACTAGCAAGGGTTGTTACACCGACAACCTAACAAGCGGCCCCAACATACGCCGGGTATTGTCCAGTGCTTGCTACAAATTCGCGAATATGTCGAAAGCACATAGAGGCGGCCCAATAAGATCGGCATTCGAGGAAATCGAGACACACGCGAAAACCAAGTTAGTCTCTTCATATCTGTCCCGACAACCGATATTACGAACCAATGACCAAACCACGCAATTTAGGCCTAGATAAACAGGTTGTACTACTTGCTGCGGCCCGACCATATACAACGTAGTAGTGGATAGAGACGGCCGAGCAAACATTTACTGGAGGCAGCACATGAGCACCTAGACAGCATCTACTTCCCCAAGCCTCTCTCGGCTTGTCGACTCTTTCTTGTCTATCCCCACAAACATCCATACAAATAAAACAACCAACAGCAAAAAAAAAGCAGACGCCGTGAAAAACACACACCACAGGCGTCGTCAAGCGTTTCTGTCGCGCGACTTCACCGCTATACACTTATGTATGATGAATAAATACCCACGTAGTAGAACGTCTCCATCACCTTTGGTCTGAAAAACTCCCGGGCAACGTGGCCCGTCTAAGCCCGCCAGCAACACCAACATGTTCGACCAAAACATGCCAAACGTCCTCCCGTGGCTCCAAGAGGTATACACACATGTACATGATGGGCCTTACGCCACCGCTCGCCACACACTCGCACCACCTTACAACGGCGTCATCGTGGACAAAAGACCCGAGCCGTTATTTTACAAAGCAGTCCTCTTTTTTCGAAACGCCGTCCTCTATGTAAGTCGCGTAGACCTACGCCACTGCGAACCATCGCAATCATCACATCCGCATTGAGTGCAGTACCTCAAGCGCCGTACTTCTGTACCTGTACCATTTCGGGGCCCCGCAACGAGTCGGTGGGACGCGCGGTTACCTGCAGGGTCCTGTTGAGGCCCCTCCCGCTTTCACGCTCCTCCTTGATCGTTCCGCGGTTCTCCCGACAAACATCCTCAACTGCACTCTTCAGCTTGATTGTGTCAGCTTTGTTGATGTTGTCGTCGTCGTCGTCGTTGCTGTTGTTGATTTGAATCGTTTCAACCTTGTCCGTGTTGCTGTCGCTCTTGTCGTTGTCGTGGCTGTGGATGCCTGGGTGGACATCGTCAGAGCCGTCGAACGAGCCGTTCAAGTCTTGGTTGAAGGCGGACGACATGCCCTTCACTCCGACTTCGTAGTCGTCCACAGTCCAGCCCTGCGTTGTGCCGTTACACGGTAGGAAAAAAGGCACGTTTCAATCAATTTTCAAACCATCAAGAACCGAATCCAACTCTTTGCTTTGAACAAAGGCATTCAAAAATAGGCCAAGCGTACGGATGTCGTGTCCGTTTCGGTGTGGGTTGAATGCGGAGATTGATCGAGGCATGAGGGCACATTGTGAGGGAATAGGGGAAAAAAGAGACGTGAGGTGCGCTAGGTCAGTCTTGAAATATTGCAGAAAAGATGAATGTGTGCACTGCGTTAGTGAAGTCGGAAAGGGGGAAACTTCCCTTGTCGTCTTTGTCGTTCCCCGACGTGCGATTATTTCGGTCTCCGGCTAGTCCACAGTATGGCTAGATGAAGTGTAAGATAGGGGTGGGTAAGTGCCTGTCAAGGTATCCACAGACAGACAGTATGCAACATAGGCGAAGCGGAGCGGCTAAACCGTAGAGGTGCTCAAACAACAGAGACGGGTACAGACGTGCGTACCTGCTTTCCGAGGGCGAGAATGTGCTCCTGGGCGTCGATGCCGGCATGCTTGCGAAAGTTCAAGAGGTAGAGCTTTGATTCAGGCTTCACCTGAGGAAGGACGACCGAAAGGGCAAGGAACGTGACGCACAGGCAGCAGCAGACACGCGTGGTAATGGAGTAGGATTAGAACTTGCCTCGTTGCGCGAAATCGCGCGATGTAGCGACGATCAAACACCGTGTGTCTGACTGCTGTGCCATTCATGTTTAGCTTCTTCTTCCTACTTGTTTCGGGTGTCACGGCAATTGTTCATATGTACGTGTGCCGCGACGATTAAAGTCGTTGCACCAATTCGGTTTTCGTGGTTGTGACCATTCCGTGTCAATTTGATGCGGGCGAGGACTGCACACGGGACGTGTACGCAACATCCTGGCAAGGACGCCAGCCATCGGCAATCCCACCGTACCAAGAGTCTATCCGGCGAGGCTTCAGCGCACAACAACAACGACAAAATCGCACCCACCTCTCCCTGGGCAAGCTCCCGCTGTACCAAGGCCTCGTACTTGACAAAGTGCTGTGATCCCTGCCTGGGTGCTACGCCTGGCTGGAAACCGACTTCGAACTCTTCTTCTGTCCACCCGCGTTCTGAGAGCATGAACTTGTGCTCCTCCAACGCAATGCCGTGCGTTTCGCGGTACCTGGCCGCGGTGAAGGCACCAACCAAGAGACGTCAGAGATGTTGATACAAAGAAGAAAAAACGCAGACAGCATGACAACAAAATATATTTGTATCATAGATAAAACAGGAACGAAATAAACTCGTATCTACCGTATGTCCAACAGGTGGAACCTCCTGCTGGATAGCCCGGCCACGCCTCTCGTGATTTTCGCCCAAGAGAACGCCCAAGCACGGCCGTGGGAACGTTCACGCACACTAGTGGGCGAACCACAGCAGTACAGCGGTAGTGTGCGCCGTAGCAACAACATAACGCCCACCAACAGCGTCAATAGGTTCGTGCGGTCAACGTCGCCGCGTCGCATCTCCCAATCACCTTTGCAGCTTCCTCTTTTCGGTCTGGTTAATCTCTCCGCCTTCCAGGGTCTCCTCGAGCAGCATCCGGTACTTGGTCTTGTGTCCCCGGGACTGGTTGACTTTGTTCGAAAAGTCCTCGGAGATGGCCTTCTGAAGACCCGCGCCAATCAAAGGCCGGCGCTTGATGAAGGCGCGCAGGGCGTGCTGGTCCCAGACGTACACCACCACCTGGCGCCCGCGCCCGTGCGAGGGAGCAGCAGAGGGTGAGGCAGAGGGACGGGATGAGGTGGATCCTACGAAATATATTGTACGACGTGCTTGCACCGGGCAAAACAAGTTAGCCTCGCGTGTGGGGGTACCGAAACCGCTGCGGGGGCGGTAGGGTGCCTGACACGCAACACCTCGCAGGTTAGCGACAACTAATTGATACATGAACACGTCGACAAATCAAGACACGACGAGACACGCTACGGGTGACCCAATGTTGTTTGTGATGTGTCCGTCGCTTCCACATGTTGTCTGACCTTTCGCGGCCACTCCAAAAGACACTAAATAGCCCTTAACAAGCCCCAACAAAGAACGCTGTTACCGCCAAAATGGCACGCCGTTTGTAGGGGGGGGTAAGGCTATACTGTACACACTCGATGCTGTGCCCCCTGTAGAAAAACAACGCCAGGTAGGATGTTTCGAGGTGGTCGTTGTGGCCGTTTCATTCCCATGCAATCCTCGTTTCGCTTCGCTCATGTGGCAGTTACCGCATTTTCTTGCAGCACTACCCACATAGACTATGTGTATGTAAACCCCGTAATAGGTTCAAGCGAAGGAAAAACAACAGTCAGAAATTCGCCTACACGTCGTACACTGGAGGAGTCACAACTCACATCCGAAGTAGCCGTGACGGTGTTCTTCGTGCATTCCATCTTCCCCAAGTCTTTCGGCCCGTCCACCACATCGGGCACGAGCGACAGGGCGACGTTCCCAACCACAGAGTCCCCTCTCAGCATGTTGAAAATCACGTCCTTCACCAAGTCAAGCACCCCTTTCCCTCCGTACTTGTAGCCACCGTCCCCGACGACGAGACCCTCGATGAACACGCTGTCTGCCTGATCCTTACCGTCGCTCCTCCCCCCTCCCGCCGGCCACGCATCCGCGGTACCCCGGGCGGCGGTGTGAGAGGACGCTACCGGAGCCTCCTGTATGAAGGCGTTGAAGGCCATGGAGCCGACGAACCCACCCGGCTCCAGGCGGCACACGTCCTCACCCTCCGACCTCACCTGTTGTTGTTATTGTTATTGAACAAGAACATTCACGTTGTTAGCGATTGGTTGAAGCAGCGACCCATTTTATTCCTAGCATTTTCTTGCGAAAGCGAATGCGACGAGTACGGTTGACACCACCGCCCATCATCACCTGGCTGGTTCAGGTGCCGCACCGACTGACACCTGCATCGTACGAGCAGCATTCACCATTTCCAATATACGGTTGTCGTGGTTGACTACCGCTGCGATCTACGCTACGCCCCAAGCGTCGGCAAGGCCAACCTCACGGCCCCTTGACCCACATCGGCGGTGCCCTCGACGATCAGAAACATCTCCTCGTGCGGTCTGCCTTGCTGGTTGATATCGTTGCCCTCAAGCACAACTCGCCGCTGTGCCTGGCCCATAAGCTGCATGAACTCCACAGGATTGAGGTCGACCGGCATAAAAATGTCTTGGTAAATTCTTGCCTGCGACGAAACACGACGGGATTCCACGAGCAACACCAGCGTTAGAAAGTGAATCGAAAAACGCTGGGGGGGGGGGGCATGGAAAACTACTCTGTGCCAAGTAACCGTTGCACTGCTGCAAAGCTCTGCGTTGCCACACCTACTGCTGTACCTGTTCAGGGTCCTTTCCAAACTCCTCCGCGTCTTCCTTCTCTTTCCACATTACCCCTATCAGGGCCGCGTTGATCGCCAGGAAGAATAAGTTCCACTTGATCGAGATCCACAGCGGCGGCGTGCGGTAATAGCTGAAGAAGAGGTTCAGGCTCGATCCGGCGACCACTAGTTCTCTGATCAGGGAAAAGAGGATGATGCAACGTCCAAGAGAGATACATAGTCTGTGTGAAGTATCAAGAACATTGCGGCCGACCGCAGAGTGTCAGGGGCCGGTTGATGCAGCAAACTAGGGCGGTGACCTACAGCAGTGCAACGTGAAGACCGGGTGCGCGACGTGTGCCTGAAGCTGATTTCCGAGTCCGGGGAAAAGAGAAAGATCAGTCAGTGTTTTGGGAAAATAGTGTTTTGGTCCCTCTCTCTGGGAGTCTTGGTTGCTCACGCAGCAGCAGAAGAAAGATGTGGAGCAGAAGAAAGTGGAGAGGGAACTTGTCAAGATCTGAAACCTATAAATACTGCGGAATGTCGTACATTTCACCGTTGCACCGTTCCGCAGAGCACCGCACGCACGCGGCGGAATCGAACGAAGGTAGAAAGAAGACGAAGATGGGAGGAGGGGGGCGTGCTCATGTATCCGCATGCCGTAGTCGTTGGACCATTGACCTCGCGTTCCCCGACAGCGCCGGCACGCAGCAATAGGCCGGTATTCGCCGGCCCAGGCTACGCTTCACAAGAGGAGGACCCAGGAAGCTGGTGATCATCTTACTGTTTGGTATGCCAAACCAGATACGTGTGCCTTGGGTTGGTTTGGCATCCCAGCTAACCAAACGTTTCACATTGAGGAGGAGGCCGAGGCGGATAAATTTGAAGTTGAGTTTTTGAGTATGCTGCGTGTGTCGCCCCCATGCGACCCATGATTGGACACTTTCTTTTTCCCGTTGGGAGGATGAAAACCTTCTTCGCAAAGAAACTACAACTACAACTTGCGCGTGTGAGCAGACAATAACTCAACAACGATCATTGGTAAAACCGACAGCCTCTTGCATGTGTTTTCGGCACATACCGCTGTAGTAGAAGTATGGTGGAAGTTTGGGCAGTTTTTTGTTTGCTTGTGTCACACAGAAGGTTGTTGTTGAATGCGCAAAGTACTCATATATTGAGGGCTGTTGATTGTGGGGTGATATCACGGCACGACGCGCCTTTTCAACCTAAACTCTTCGGCGTAACACATGACGTTACGAGTAGTTTTAAGTATAAATGAGCTGTTCGTTTCCCATGCTGTGAACAACAACGAACCGCATCCCATCCATCCTCAAAAAAACTCTCTTTTACTTGAGCACACGAGGGCTCACGAGTCGGACACACTACGCGCATGTACTTACGTACGTATGCATTGCCGCAATGTGCGTACGCCGATCAACCATCGGCACGACTTCGTTACATAGCACACAGCAATAGCATCCTCTGCTGCTGCTGTAGCTACACACACAACAGCGGTGCGCATACATAATACTTGACTCTTTTTAAGCAGCAGCACTGCCGTGCGCAATGTGCGTGGGCTTGAGCAAGCAAGAACCCGGCGTCGGGACGGACGAATCACGGTCATCCACCGCCTTGGTAACGACTACGGTCAGTAAACCATGTACCTCGCGACCACAAAATTCCTCCCCCGTGGACGTTTGATCTTTTCAAACAGCAGACGAAAGAAAAACCACCCACCACGAAAAAATCTCACCGCAAACTCAAGGCATCCGTTTCGAGGTAGCCCAAGGCAAGGATCCCCAAGCTAGTGTGCCCACACACGGAGCCGATGGTGGTCGCGGTGTCGATGCCGAGGAACTGGAGTGGACGCCGCTCCTTCATCATTTCTTTTCGAAAGCTCTCCTGAGCCAGCAGTAGTACATCGCCATGTTCCTCGTTTTCCTCTTCTGCCTGTTGTTGGTGACCGACTGCAGATGATGCGAACGGAGCTTCCTTGGGAAGCAGTAGCCTTCCCCCAGCCAAGCTCGGAGGCTTGAGTGTAGAGAGCTGGCGCCATGCCGAAGGCTTCGCGGCGACGGTAAACGCGCCTCCGGTAGCACCTGGACTCGACCTCACCAGCCCGTTTCTTCGTCTGAAGACACTGCTGATGATGCTGCCGCTGCTGCCGCCGTTGTTGCGGCCACCGTGCGAAGCAACTGCCCTTCCCAAGCTCATCCCCTGTCTGCTGTGCCGTGGTGGTTGTTCCTGGATTCGAAGCAACAGAGAGAAATCGCCGAATCAGTGGGGTATATTTGTCGCCGGCTGTGGTGACCTCGTGGTCACTGCGGTACAGCCACCGTTGCGGTAGGCACAGCAACAACCTACAACAGAGAGATAAAGAGCCAGCCCCCGGCTCTGCCCTGCTGCTGCTGCGACTCAAATCTTATTTTGGTGGGACAGAGTATCTTCGGGCGCAAGGCTGGCGGTAACTATCCAGGCGCAGCACGCAGGGGTGTTGTGTCCCTACCTGATTGCTATCGCGTATTCTTTCCCGCTTGTTGTCCACAGACCTCCAGGACGAAGACCAACGAACGCGTATAGTAGTCAGGGCTGTGAGCTTGTCGTAGTTGAAGGGTTGATGGGTGTGACGCCACAACTTGACACATGTTCACAGAATCTTGTCTTCGAGGATCCCAAGAATGCGGCCGAACACGTAACTACCACGCCACAAACTCGAACTTTGGTCGCGGTTCACTGGAACATTGGGGTACCGTAGGTGACACAATATATCACACCCCCTGGACAGATTTTCAAAGCTCGATCGCTCCACACAGCAGAAAGAGTGATGGCGGTGCCGAGAGTTGCGGCGTTGGAAGCGTCTCGTCGATAGCTTTCCGAAAACGTATCTCGTTGGCTTGTGTTGTACTGTACATCCTCGGCGTCGTGGACTAACATTGAGCTGTCTGTGTGAATTGCCGCAGGGGTTGCGATATCTTATGTCACAGTACATACATGAGGTACTACGGGAGATCTCTGCTGGAAGAACCACAAGAAGTAATGCAAGAGCACGTACAACCTGGGATGGTGTGCTTGCTGACCACACATGGTACGTGGGACGAAAATAATAGCGTTCCGTGCACCTATCTTTGAGCGAATGAATCAAGACTTGTATGGATAATAGATAGATAGATAGATGCATTCACAGCGCCTAGCTTGTCAGTGTACGGCACTAAAAAAATTCCAAGCGTTTATTATCTATATCCAGCATCGATCTGTTTTCCTCTTGCCTCCGAGCAGCAGTACAGAATTCAACACACAGCATGCCAATGTTGTCGACACAGTACAGCCCTTCGAATCGGGCGGAATCTCGAACGTTGAATTTACTGGAAAAGTTTTTATAAGTTGTGTCAAAAATGAATCCAGTAAGTGATCATCATGTGCTTGTTGTGTAGCTGGTCGCTGGCGGAAGGAATCCAATCCAGTAAGTAAGGAGGTTGATTGGTCGAAAATAAGGAGACGAAACACGCCTCAACCACTCACGTTGCCGCGCAAAGTTGCGTTGTGTGATTACTATTATATTTGATCTATCTCGCCAAATGCATGTACTGTACCAGAGACAATCGCCGTGGTGTGGTGATTGATGAGCAAAGATAAGATCAACAACACACCTGCTCACAACCAACCATTCATTGTCGTCGCGCCGCCTCGATCGAGCAAAGAGCTACACGTACAGCAGTAGGTATAGTGTGCCGAATGTTGATTTCTTTGAATGACACAAAAACGCCCCACCACCATTGACCATAGTAAGTCTTCATCTTCTTTGATTTGCACCACGTGCTATACCGACCGAACCGATTAAATATGATGACATTCATTATTATCATGCGGAATCGATTATTATTACTGCGATCATCATGCTGGTGTGATTTGAGTGTGTTTACCTCGGGTGCGCATGAATGAGCGGTACTACTTACCACCACCCGCTGACAGACGTACGTGTGCAGCGATGCGCAAGATCCACCATGAACAAATATATCCTTAGTATTGTTGCCTATCTATCTCTACAGCACGAAAGGGACCACAGATAGTAGTAGATAAACGCCGAAGACAATGAATAAAAATATCAAGCCCACAGACAAAAAGCGTGTAGCGCCCAACAACATAAACGAACGAATCCACTAATCCCCCCCACCCCCCCCCCTCCTCAAAATGGTCAAGCATCCTCGAGGCAGTTGCACAGTGCTTACAACTGTCTCTGGAAGTGAACGCACCAGAAAATAAATTAAGCCATACGCAGCTGTCATCCGTACGCAAGGAAGTAAGCACAAGATGCCGAACACCCTTAGCAGGATGCAGCTCACCCTTCATGCGACTCGCCGAAAACCCACGGCGCTTCGCGCTTGGTGATGTGAGAGCCTGGTCCGGTGAGAACCCGGCGTGCTCCGTCCCGGCTTGGTAGGGATGCGAGGTCAATGGTCAAACGACTACGGCATGCACGACTATGAGTACACCCCCCCCCCCCCCCTCCTCCGCCAGCCAGTGACCAATCCAATACCCTTAACCACACACACTAGGACTAACATCTGAAAATCAGTTGGTTGGCTGTTCTCACTTCGATACCAAGAGCAGTGATGATGTGCCAGCCTCACAGGAAAAGAAGTAATTCGCTGCCGCCTCACCACCCAGCAAATAATTATAATAGTAGTGCACCCTTTACTTCACTCGCCGCACATAGCACTGCACGCATGTATCGTACGAACAAGACCACATGACATATTGACAGCCAGCCGGTACAAAACAAGAACGAATGAACGAAGAACGCACACAATCGTGATGCAATTAACAATCAGTCTTGTGATACACGTCTGTCTACCGGCGGCATCAATCACCACCGTCATTTCTCCTCTCCCCTCTCCCCTTTCCCCCCTGAGTTCCCTCGTCCCTGCTCCTATCGCAGCCCCGAAGGAGTGATTGGGGCACCGCTGTATGCTATCCTATCCTAACCCCTACCACCATCATCACCATGAAGCCGTTCGTAGCTCCGGCAGTTGCTCGCGCACTAACATATACTGCGGCTGCACGCAGCAGAATCTCAAGCTGGACAGCTCCTGCTACAGGTAGGTAAGTAGTAGTAAAGAATTCTAGCTGCCTCGAAGAAGACCCACGCACCAAAAATAAAACGTTCCGATATGGAACTCAAATTCAAGGTAAAATCAACTCGGCGCCCGTCGTGAGATACGGCCGTCGAGACACCATCCATCACCTCCATCAACCTGCCGCTAGAAAACACAGCAACAACGACAACAGCAACAGCAACAGCAACAACAACAACAACAACACTTTCACGCGGTGCGCGACATACACGGGGCTTCCCTGAGGCGACCCCTGCTCTTGTTGGAGAGGGGGCGTGCACGGCCTTCCCCCCCCCGTACATGTGGAAGGCTCCTCAAGCACGAACACCACAGCAACAATAGAAAACATCCTAGAACGCATCCCATACTCTTCGCACCAACCCTTGCTGTCTGTCCGTTCTCATGTCCAGAAGAAAACACCCACCGAAAAAACATTCGGGGCGATTCTACCCGAACCGAAAAGGTGTGTGGAGCGTGGAGCCACTGTAGCCGGGCTTAGCGCACTCGTTAGGAGATAGGGACCATTCGAGTGCGCCAAATAAAACACGATATCTAGACTACAGTACAGTAGGAGATAGGCAGGCACGTGTTGCGAACAACGAAGGCTCGCCAACACGAACACGTTTTATTGCCTGTCTGTCCACACAATGTTTTGACGGTCCTGCCCACCCCTCGCCACCGAATAGACGATCTTCACGAGTAAAATAACCGGTCGAATAACAAGAAAAGCAGGATGGCATGCAACTTGTACCAGGTGCACCCATGTGCGAAAATTTCACAGCCACCGTCACAAGGAAATAGTCCTAAAAGATCGACGAAACCTCCAGCCCAACATCTCAAACGTCTCGGCCAGCTTGCCAGACCAATAACAGCACCGCCACTCCCCTCCCCTCCCTCTATCCCCCACAACCACCAGACGCGCCTAGATAGCAACCACGGAAACATGAACGTCTGCCTGAGGCCGAAACGGCACAGCTTGTCAATTTGCCACGAACGCGTGAAGCACAAATGCAGCCCTTCCCCTCTCATAACCCCCCCACCCCCACCCCCGCCGCCATTGGCGGCCTGGTATCCTGGTACCATCGGAGAGTGCAAAAACCCAATGTCCTCACAACACCTCCGACCCCGCCCACCCCCACTATTTGCGAACTTCTGCTGCTCCGGCAGAGCAGGGGCGGCCGTAAAAATCGATGGGTGATCACATTTCCTCCTCCTTTTCCCACCAACTATTGGACTAAAGGTGTTATGATACAGTCATCAATAACTCCCCCCAGTGGCTTCCACTAGCGGGAAAAAAACTAAATAAGTAAACATTTTCGCATACCGAAAAGCGAGCTGAAACACTTTGACACATGGTGCCGCCTTGGACGTAATGTCGCGGATATCCTACGGAGCCCCTACGCGTCCTGATCCATTGATTCTACCATCTCCCTCTTCTCCTTGTCCGCTGTCCCCCCTGCCCCTTCACGTTCCTCCGACTCCTCAACAACCGTCTTGTTCGTATCCGTCTTCTCTAGGCCGGTGGCGGTCTGTACAATGACAGCGGTGGCAGCGTCTACCACCCTCTTGTCCGTGGAGTCATCCTGGCCATCATCAGGAACACGAACAGGATGCGTGTTGTCGGGTTGCTCCGCCACGCTTCTTCCGGCAAGGCAGGCCGCCGCCTTGCCCTTAGCTCCAACCTCGTAGTCGTCCGCGGTCCAGCCCTGACGGTCATGGCCATGGCGATTATCGTAAAACAGGCAACAGGAGGGGACGTCAGTAAAGCGTGATTCAGCGACAGCAGCAGCAGCAGCAAACAACGAGGATTGTGGGACGCCGTGATGAGGGTGGGCAAGTCGTGCCTGCGGTCGTGTACCGAGGCTGGAAGCCATGTTCGCAGACGCAACGACACCATGATGATGATGATGATGATGATGATGATGGTGCCGTAAGGAACGAGAGTGTACTGTACTGCAGCGGGAAGCATCTTCGTCTGTAGCCCTGACGGTAGATAGCGAATCACGCTGAACCACCGTTACGTCGGCATCGTAGTTCCCCCCCATATGGTGTTGGCGTCCACCACGAACGTGCCCTCTTGCCTCACGGGTATGGCTCAAGCAGAGAGCGAAGAGACTACCCTAGCGGAAAACACTTGAGACAAGCATGCAACAGCAGTACAATAGCCGACGCCACCAAGGGAAGCTGCTTGATATTGGGCTTAAGTTGTGCTTTTTGTCGGAATATTTTGTTTTTGCCCCGTCGTACATACCTGTTTTTCGAGTGCGATGAGGTGTTCCTGGGCATCGATCCCCGCCCGGGTCCTAAACTCCCTCAGACTCTGCCGTCCGTCATCCTCCACCTAAACAATCCCGCCGAGGATACACAGGAGCAGAGGAGCAGGAGTTGGCGCAAGAAGCAAGGAAGGGCCAGGGGGGGGATCTGCATACGTGGATTAGTGCACAAAATGGGGTGGGCGCCAAGAGGTCCCAATCGGGCAACAGTCCGACTGGCGGTTGCCTGCCCAAGGACCGAAGAGAACGTTGAAATTGTCCACGTATGTAAACTAACGCTAGAAACACAAGAGCGCATATTGTATGTATCAACCTTTTGCACACGTATAGGCATTCTCCTCAACCAGGCAATGGTTAATCGGTCAAAGAAGGGCCGAGCATTGTAGTGCGTTCGAGGCATCACCACAGAGTAAAACGGAATGTTAAGGTGCAAACAAAGCGACGAAATTGCCCAGTTTTGATCCAACGGATGGGTGGCACACATCTTCCTGCGGCTCAACTTCCCCACCAAAAGAGGCCCGCCATGTCCTCGTCTACCGAAGATAGACCACGACCGCAACCTCGGGAGGAACACTCGCCTGTCGGACTCCAAACAAACAACAAAAAATACTATGTGAACCACTCTCCCGCCTGGATGTCCCCGACTGATACATTCGAAAATCATGCAGTACAGTAATGAACGCCGAATAGTGAGTTCTCTGGTGCCAGACTAGATAGGATACACACAACACACACGAGTGCATCGTCAGGGTAAGGGTTTATCCCTCCCGCACCTTTCCCTTCGCTAGCTCTCTCCGCAGCAAGGCCTCGTAATTGAGGAAGTGTTTCGACCCGTCCCTCGGTGTAACGCCTTTTTGGAAACCCGCTTCGAACTCTTCCTTTGTCCACTCGTGCTCCTTCAGAAGCTCCCGGTGCTCCTCCGACGAAATTCCGTGCATGTCGCGGTACCTGAGGGGAAAAGAGAGAGAGAGAAAAAAAAAACGATTATTGTGCAGACCTCGAATTCGAACCATCAAGAAACGTTGCGAAAGAAATCGTCAGCACGGAGGAAGCCCCCGCATCCTGGTGAAAAAAATTACCGTAACTTTTCTCTGTGTTTTTTGCTCCCAAGACCAACTCCGCCATGTCATCGCCCAGACGATCGCAAACTTCTCGCACTTGATGATTTACGAGTACATGTGTTGTTTTGTTTTGCTGACGAGTGTGTGTTTCCCATGCCACCTACAAGTACCGTAACACAAAAATAACCTCTTTCTTCTGCCCAGGTATGCCATGACACCCGATGACAATGAAGGCGTGGGATCGACAAAATAACCACACACGGACGGAGCAGCAACAGCGCAACGCGTCTCTTCCGACAACATCAGCAACCCCGAAACTACGCCCCATCTTTCTCCGTATTGTCGGACCCCATCCATCAATTTCTACCAACCCTTCACACACCTACCTGCTAAGCTTGCTCTTCTCGATCGGTCTTGTCACGACACCGAAGTAACCCAGAACTACAAAACACCCAGATCGTCGGGTCCCACCCCTCCCCTCTCAGTACCCAACATCATAGGGTCCCAACCATCCAACCATCCATCCATCCACCCATCCGTCATTTCACCCTTTGACACACCTGGTCAGCTTCTTCTTCTCGATCGGGGTAATCACCCCCCCGTCGAGGGCCTCCGCCAGCAGCAGCCGGTACCGCTCCTCGGGTCCCCGCGACTGGTCCACCTTCCTCGTAAGGTCCGCCGATATCGCATTCTGCAGGGCCGCCCCCGCGAGGGGCCTGCGCTTGATGAACGCCCGCAGGAGGTGCATGTCCCAGACGTACGCCACCACCTGATGATGCACCCGTCATCGTTGTAGTCGTCACGATCAGGCAGGAAGAGGCAACAGATGTCGGACCGGTTTGAAGCACGGCAGCAAGAGAACCAGGCAGCGGCAGCGCGGAATAAATAAATAGCGTACTTTGTTAGGACCCGAAATCAACGAATATTCTGGAAATAAAGCAAGGGCTCAAACTTTCACAATAAAACCAGAAAACAGGGTGGCACGCACATCTCTCAGCAATGCACGCTTAGGATACCACACACCCCGGCTGGACCGATTCTGAAAGCTCGACTGCTCCACGACGAAGAGGAGAACGAAAAATCAAATAATTATACGTTTTCGGAATGCTCTCCACGAGACGATTCCAACGCCCCCCGCCATTGTTCGCCCCCGCCACTGTTGTTCTTCTCCCTGCAGGATATTCCAACTTTGAAAATCGGCCGAGGGGATGTGGTATCTCACGTATGCAATCTACACGGAAGTTGAGCGCGCGCGACTCACATCGGTCGTGGCGGTCACCGTTGTTGCCGACCGTTCCATCTGTCCGCCTCCGTGACGCCTGTCGCCTTCGGCATCGGCGACAAAGGACTGCGCCATGCTACCCACTATGGAGTCTCTCCGCAGGACGTTCAGAGCCACCTCCTTAGCCTCCTTGAACACGCCTCCTCCGCCAGGGACGTTGTCGCTGCTGTCGGCCACGATGTAACCGTCTTCGTCATCGTCGGTGTAATAGACACCCGGCTCGTATTCGTCGTCAATCGAAGCGTCTTCTTGTTCCTCTGCATCGCCGCCACTGCTACTGCTACTGGTACTGGTACTGCTGATGTCGGTGGGGACCGTGGGAGAGGTGGTCGTTGGCGAGGCGGAGGCCTGCATGAAGCGGTTGAAGGCCATCGACCCCACGAACTGCTTCTGTTCCAAGTGCCCCACCGCCGCGCTCTCTGCCTCTACCTGTGTTTCGAAAGTGTCGTTTCGAAAGTGTCGTTTCGAAATTGACGTTTCGAATGTATTGACGTTTCGAATGTAACGCCAATGACACGTAACGGTACCTACACCGGCACCCGAAACAACAAACAAGAAAAATCGCACAAGAGACAGCAAAAAAAAGTGTATGTGTTTTGAACTAAACTAGTGAGAGTAGAAATCTCTGCCACATGCTGTTGCAATGAAACCCACTGACTACAGCGGGAAGACAATATCGACGGTCCCATGGCTCTGTGCAGCATACCAGACCTTGCGCTTGCCGGGCATATGGAGGAGGTAGGTCATGGCGGAATCAATTCAGAGGTAGGTCCGTTTCCGAGCTGGACACTAGAAGGTATCTCGTGAGCGTAGAGCAAATCAGTCTCAGTTTCTGTCACAACCTATTTTACTATTGAGCTGACTTGACCCAACCGAGGAAGGAACGCCCTCTGCATCATGCATAAAGGTCAAGGTTATAGTTCTCGGCACGGAACGGAATATCGGGGCCCGAGGTTGACAATAGAAAACATGCTGTCGACCCCCCTTCGTATACTCCGTATTTTATACTTGTATAGTATATTCTTGCTTCCTCGGAAGTGTGCCATGCATCTGTTTTCGGATTTCACGTGCAAGTGTTTATCCTTAGCGGAAGAGAACACTGCTGTATGTGTAGTCTCAATGCCAAAATCAAGCAACCCACAGCGAAAGGGGTCGCTGTGAACCGCCAGCGAGGGCGAAGACTGCTACTCAGTGCTCGGGGTCTCGTGGTCGAGGAGTTACAGCAGCTATGTAGATACTCGATTGGCGCAACCGCAGGAGGGGAGGGTAGAGAGGGGCTCTTCTGTGTGACCACGGGTTGGAGTAAACGGCACTAGTGCTGTGAGCGCTGATTTGAAGTGAAGACGAAAAAAAAAAAAAAAAAACGAGGAAGTCTGCTTGGTAGAGAAAAAAGACAGCGTACTCTTCATGGTCTCAGCCTTAGCGACCCTAGGCCGCGAACCTCAAAACGGGAGCACGTCTCACGGTCTCTTTCCTGCAAGACACTTGAGTGTGACGGCATAAATTCAGTAGACTCAAAACATGCCCAGTATCCAGCCGGTTTCTTCTTCCACTTACTGCAAAGACTTCTACACATGCCCTTTGTGGATATATCTCGAACGGTAGTCTTTTCTTATGTGCATATATATATATATATATCCTAAAAAACAATACACAAGACCCACAAATACAAAAATACTTCCATACACACATTGTCCCGCTAAACGGCTGGCGTCTTTTGATTCGTCACCCAGTTGGCGCGGTCGATGCTTTTTCGAGACACCCACACAAACAAACACACCCAGATCACGGCCTTTAGAAATATTCTCTGTTTTCAACCGCACTGAGACCGACGTCTTTTCATTGGTCACCCGGCAAGAGCGGTCGATGCCAACAACAGTAAAATAAAGACACAAACATGCACGAAAAAAATGACGTATTCTCATTGGTCAGCCGGTTGGCGCAGTTGATGCTAGCTAAGAAAAAAAAAAAAACACACACACACACACACACACATACATACCTCGGCAGCTCCCTCGACGATGAGGAACACTTCCTCCTGTGGCTGGCCCTCCTCGGACAGATGGGTGCCCTTCGCCACCAGGCGGCGCTCCGCCAAATCCATCAAGCGGACGAAGTCTACCGGGGTCAGCTCCACCGGCGCGAAAACTTCTTGGAAAGTTCTCGCCTGCATAAACCAGAAATCAGAACGGTTCCAGACGTGGTTTGCACCATGAAAAGGGGTGGGGGTAAGTAGTGCGACCTTCAGGGCTACTGCTGTAGAGACGTTTGGGAATACCGAGATGATAGTCTGTGCGGAGAAGCGTCATCGCTGATAGAACAAAAACGATAGTGAAACTGGGGCTGTTCTGTGTCATTCGAGAGGTTGCCCGTTTATCGGGGTCCCAAGTCAAACCTCGACGACTCGGAGGAGAGGGGAAACGCGGCATCTGTCACCCCCCTGTTGACTCGAAAAAAAAGAAGGGTACACATCCTTCTCTGCAAAAACAATGACGTCACTGCCGGGCGAGTACCACGGCAAAGAAGATGAGACGAAGATTGACAGAAGACAACACGTCAGGGGGATATCTCATGTGTTTCCACATAGGTAAAACGCTGGAGTTACCGTGCCATTCCATTCCGGGTGATAGGCATTGCTTGTATCCAACGTACAGAACGACTAGGTCATTTCTTGATCTGTGCCCGCCGAAAGCACCGGCAAAGCGCTGGAGTTACCGTGCCATTCCATCCCGGGTGACAAGCACTGCTTATATCCAAAGTACAGAACGGCTAGGTTATTTCCTCTGTGCCCGCCGAGAGCACCGGCACAACTATAATAGGCTTGACAACGGCACTGTTTAAACGGCGCTACTGGACCACTACACAAATGACTGTTTGGTATACCGTGGTATACAACCGGTACGGTAAATGGTCCCAACGAGTTTATGCCGTCGTGGGTGCGCCGGTGCTGTAACGTCGACCGGTACTCGCCACAGAACACCCACGGCATTCAGCGGCATTCTACGACAGCCGTCCGGCAAGCGTTAGCGTTCGTTCTCTCAAGCACAGCTACCTAACGCCTAACGCGCCGGGGTGCGACACGAGGCAACCTCTTTCGGCGTGCGCAGCGACGGGATAAACAACGCCAACCCTGCGCACGCCTGGACACGACTCGACCGGCGTGTAGGGAATATTTCCTGTCTGTATCTCTTCCAACTTGTAGCCCATGCTAGTTCATGCTATTTCATGCTAGGCGGCGTGGGGATGGAGGTGGACGAACCTGTTCAGGGTCATCTCCGATATGGGCGGCCTCGCTCTTTTCCTTGAGGAGCAGACCAATCATCGAGACGTTGATCAACAGAAACACCCCCTGTTTGGTGGGAGGCGGGCAGGCCAAAAATGGTCGGCGGCGCACGGGGTGTTGTGTTATTTCCTTGCAACACTACACTGCAAGATATCTCCACCACAAGTAGAGCATTCATAATACACACCTTCGACCGACGAGTGAACGGGACGGCTGAATCAATGAATTGACTCTTCTCGCGGGGGTAGAAACCAAGGCAAGTACCGCTAAGGCGAGATAAAACTCCTATGATTTGCGCGACCTTCTCCCTGTCTGCTCTGTGAGCCTGACGTAACCCCGGCTGATACGTCAAACGTATGCATACACGCCGAGACGTACGTGTGCTAGACTGGCGCCAGGGACGAACACACACACACGACGTAGTCACCGCTAACTCTTTAGCCTATAACAGAGTGGGATGCTATCGGTTTCTTGGTACTGCGGCACTACAAGTTGTGGGGGGCTTCTTCCTTCTCCTCCTCCTCCTGCCGCTCTCACATTCCATCCAATCGGGATCCAAAGCGGCTGCGCCCGGTAGAACTGGAAGAGGATGGAAAGCCCTATGCCACTCGCTGCGGATGCACTGGGACAACAAGGCGGTACAGCAGTTGTGATGCCGGGATAACGTGGATAGTTTCGGGAGGTGAGGGGGCGAGCGGGGTACTGCTGTGTGTATGTCTACCTCGCGGCTACTTCGCCGTACAAAGACGAGATCCAAACCTTCGTTTCTGTTTCACCGTAACCTTGTACGCGCAATGTGACAATGTGCTTGTTTTGACTTGGCTTGCGTGTACTACGTAAATGAACTGTCAGTCTCGCACGTTTTTCTATCACAAAGGAATCCGCCATCCTCTAAACATCCAGCAATACAGCGCAGCATGTACATGTATGTATGCATATCACTGCGCGGCCGGCGGCCGGTATTAAGGGGAAATCAAGAATCGAAAACCAAACCCGTCACAAGTCCACGTCACACGTGTCACACCATGCTCATTCGTTTTTGTTGCTAACTCAGCGCCGCCCTTGGACTCACGTCTGGAGACAATTTGATCCCGACTTCTGCACCCCTTTTCTTTACCACGACTCGAGCTCCGTACTCGGTGTACTTCAAGGACTCCTGTATAGATAAGGCAGGCTTGAACCTCTCTCAACAACATGTGATCTAAACACACCCAGGAAGACTACCCATTCTTCTTGGTCACTCTAATCCCAGTCGAAACAACTGGCAAGATCAGCAGACCACACCGGGATGAGAGATGGAACTTGAAGACGAAACCATAGACCTCTGCCTCTCTGTCTCTCTGTCCATCTGTCTTCAGGGAAGTTGTACATTATATGGAGCGCAAGTTCAACATTTTCGTTTAGTTTTCGAATACTGGCTCTATACATCTGGATTACATAATGCAACACACGGCTCGGAAGCTTGCTGGTGTCGAAACTCGCTACAATCAAGTTCATCCCCAAAAAGCACTACAAACTTGAAGTTTAGCAATACGATGAAGAGAAAAGAAGAGTGCTACCACTACTCCCGTCAGAGAGTACTGCTGTAGAGGTGATGCCCGCTACCACTCGGGTAGGCCGCCCGTAAGCTATCTCACCAAGCAAAATGCGGAGAAACAACCGTTGGCAAAAAACGAAAAAACGAGTCACTACTTGAGATCAAAGTACATACGTGTGTGTGGAGAGCTGCGGTTACACCATTTCTACTTGGTAAACCGAGCTTCTCAAGAGATACTGCCACCGACAATACAATCTACCAACGTCACAAATGGGGAGGGGTCGTCTCACCGCAGGGCAAGCACATCGGTCTCGAGATACGCTAGCGCCAGGATGACGAAGCTAAGATGACCGCACTGATTGCTCGCGGTTGTTGTCGTCTGGCATCCCATGAACTGCAGCGGCCGACGCTCTTTGACCATGGCATCTCGCAGCTGCTTCAACACGCCCCCCTCACCTAACCTTGCTGCCCCCTGCTGAACCTCCGGACCCATCGCTATCGCGCTGAATGGCGCCTCCCTGCGCAGCAAACGGCGTCCACCGGTTGGAGGTTTGGCCATGGAGCTCTCATGGATTGGACTTTTTGCTGGGTGCACGAGGCGGCAATCATGGCCCAACCGTCCTCTCCAACGCAAGGCAGCGCCACTGCTGCTGCTGCCTTGCAAAGTAGCCCTCCCACGAGCAACCCTCGCCAAGCTGATCATGGTTCCTGTAGGCCAGCTCTCTGCTGCTGCGGAGGAGAAGCCAGCGTGCAACGTGCCAGTATCACCAAAGTGCTCGGCACTCTACAAGTACTCGTCACGCTCTTTTTATTCTCAACTTTCAACCGCGCGAGGTTGAGTCTTGTCTCGAGACACGATGTTAATGCTGCTGCCGTTTATTTTCGTCGTGACCCCTACGCTCTGGATGGTTGGTATGGGTGGCAGGGAGCAGTTCCATGTGACCCTCGTAGCTTTGAGGGTAGCGAGAGGATGCCGGAAATTGCTCGTGAAGTGTGTGTGAAGAGAGGGGGAAGAGAGAAACACCGAGACAGCCAGTAGAGAATTCGACAACGGAGATTTCGTAGAACATCGGGGTGAAGCGGGTGAGAAATGTGAAATGTGAGAAGCGACGAAGCGACCCGATTCCCGATTCCTGAAAAAAGCAGTAAAGCCAAATATCCAACCATAGCAGTAGCGTGTTTTTGGAGCTCGGACAACGAAGTCTGCACATCATATGTGGCAGACACACACGACACATTTATTGCCATTAGTACGTCATCCTGGGGCCTTTGCTATGGATGTAGAGATGAATCCGCGGTTGCGTTTTCGTCAGAAAAATAGTGACAAAAGTGACACACAGTAGCAGTAACTTGTGAAAGCTGTAGCCCATTCATCACTCCGCACTCACTCAGCGTCATCACGTGATTTTTGGCCAGTCCTCCGGCGTGCCAACTTTAAGCCGGCGGCTAGCGCGCATACATGTCGAGCGGCGCTGGCGGAGCGATTATACTGCTGTACGTGAACACAAGTATTTGGCGCATATTTCAGGGTTGGGTTCGGACGTTCCGAGTCGTGTATTTACCTCAACGACACACGACTTACGCCATCAGCTACAGCTGTGTATGCATGTACAGCACCACATGATACCATGGATACATGTACGTTCTTCCCGTTACTAGGACAAGGGAAACCTTCACACCAAACAACTTGATAGTGAAACACAAAGTTAAAATTAACTCGCTCCTACAAGTCCGCGTGCAACCACCGAGTTGACGTGCTGTTCGCCATGACCGGCACCACAAAAAATAAGCTGACTGCCCTCCGAGAAAACGACTCCGATGTAACAGCTTACAGGTACAATGTAACAGCAGTGAGTGGGGATCCACGCCCAGAAGCTCGAGGCGAGGGCAGGAGTAGGAGAGAACCAACAATTACTATGCATATGCCCTCTTTTGCATCACACTGCTGTATTATTCACGACGAAGGGACGCCCCCAAGTCGCGAAAAAACCGAGTCACCGCCCCCTCATTCTACAACCGGCCTTCGCGCCGGCACCAGGGGCAACGAACAACAGCACAATCAAAAACCTCAGCGATTAATGAGGAATACCCGGGTTCTCATCAGCGCAAGAGGCAAAAAAAAAAAAACCCAGACCACTTCGCCCAGACGAGGAAGAAGCTCCAGCCCAAATTCCAGCAACTCCACGCCACACTTCGTAGTCAAGCCTCGAAATCCCAGCAACCCCGCCCGCCACGATCAAGCTTTCTGCACCACTATGGGCGCGAAACAAGCCCGGACCCACACCCACACCAGCCAGATGCCCGCGAGGGCGATCCCTCTGGACCACAGAACGCTGAACTGCTTCAGTCGTCGGAATGCGCAAGTGGCGATCTCGCCGTAGTCGATCCAGCTCTCGAGGGTCTTTCCGTCGGCCTTCTGGAGGTAACCGCTGAGCCCGTTCACTATCGCCTCGTTAGCACCGGGAAACCCGGCTGTGGTGGCCAGGGACATGAGGGTTTCGGGCTGCAGAAGGGGACGAATGAGGATGGGGACCGGGTAGTAGGGGGGTAAGTCACTTGGGGAAGGGGGGGGCGGAGGTCACGCAATTGATAAATACTTTTACGTGATAAAGGCTCCCGTTTCGGGAGTTAGCTAGGTGGCTTGCCCACCGGGGGCGACGCAGGAGGGCATGGCCAATGTTAATGTATGTTAATGTTATCACGGATTGTGTCGTTGGGATAGATAGCAGCCAGCCAATCACGGCCGCCGTGGCTCGTTCATCTTACGTCACCCGTCATCATCGCATGCCACTTCCCCCTCTCCTCCTCCACCTTGCTGTGGTAGACGACCTCTCCATCCTTTCCTCTCAGCCGACGGAGGGCTTCGGAGCAAAGGGTGGACGTCGCGTACCAGAGCAAGATGGAGGAGGACAGGGGGAAGTGGCAGAGGGAGGGCTCGATTTCCGCCGAGAAGAGGCTTGGCACCTCGCTTGCCGCCGACTTCGATTCGGACGAGACTACGTCATGACCGTTCGCGAGGGGAAGTGTGCAGAACAATGCAGGACTGCAATGCACGTGAGCAAGGTGAGGGCGTCACGGGCTGAAAAAAAATCACAGGCTTTAGATATCCTCGAAGGTGTGAGTACTAGGTGGACGGCATGCAGACCACCAAGATTGGCGGCACCAGCACCGACCCTTTCCGTACATCGTTGGCATTCGTCAACTCCAAGCATCTGCAACAACGTGGAGCATCGGTCCTGGGTTGCCATGGCCAACATAGTACCACGCCTTGTGCTTCAACGCCAACGCCTTCACCAGGCATTGCCGCCTACATACCTTCGCCTGGTTGAGGAACGCGCACACCATCTGCTGTGTGCCAGGGTTCCGAAGCTGCTTCTTCACCCCCTGTCAGCCAGCAAGAGACAATGGGGGGCGGGCGCGAGATGGGGTTACTGTAACAGGTCACCCTTCTAAGGCGTATGGCCAATGCGGCATGGCTGCTTCTCTGCACTCAATCCAGCCCAGTCAGCACGCTTCCGGAGATGCAATAACAGCAAGTAGAACAGAGAGTGCCGTGAGTTGGTCGCCCGGTGACTCAGGCTATGGACATCAGACATGATCAAAATTTGCTCCCCACGAGGGCCACACTCTGCATGCATTCGACTCGCTGCTTACATTGAAGCTCATTACACTCTACTTTTCGGGGGGCTCAGAATCGGGTTATCGGGGGGGGGGCACAATCGGGACGCCTTCGGAGGAATAACTGAGGACGGCGGCGGCGCAAACAAGAAAAACTGCCTTCGGAGGACATCGTAAAGTCAGCGGCACACTTCCTACCACGCAAACGTGACGGTGGTTGCAAGGGTGTAGCAACAGAGGATACGATTTAATCGCTGGGAGGCTTCGACTTTTTCGATCTTCGTGCCATATGCAACCAGTCCAGCGAATCTCACGACTCCAGCCGTCGCCACGTCATATTTTTTTCCTTGTCAAGGGGCATAACTCGATATACTCTGTACTGCAGTGTGCAGGGCCATGTTGTTTCGAACCCCAGGGTCGAAACGATGCCAGTGTTCTACGATGCCAGCGAAGGATACGCGGAGATTTTGCTCTTTGAACTGTAGAAAGGTTGTGAAGGGCACTGATTGGTCGAGGCGTGCTTTCGCCCACAGCTCCACAGCTGAGGGCTCCATGAAATGTAAGCCTGAATCACTTTGCTACTGTGTTGGCCAGCTCGTGGGGGTCACTAAGATAGCTTTACTACCTTTGGGTAGAACTGCGCCAGTTATTGGGTGGGGAATCGGATTTCTGCCTTCCAATAAGGCTAATGCATTTTTCCATATGACCATTTATTCACATACACGTACTTCAATGAAATGAACCACGTTCATTGAGGCTGGCTCAGTATCGGTCCGGGCATCCATCCGACCACGCCTTCGGGCGGCAAAAATAAACAAAAACATACACACACACGCGCGTGCAGTTTTCTTCTGTTGCTACCGTTTCTGTTTTTGATCCGGAGAATAGCTTAGCCTCCCCCATGCCGCCCCCTCACGGGGTCCCAGTTCATGGCAGATAGAAGTGTTTTGTGTTTTCAACCGCACTGAGACTGACGTCTTTTCATTGGACAGCCGGTTAGCGCCGTCGATGCTATTAATAAACACACACACACACACACATCCGCCGCTCGTACCTTACTCATCTTCTTGGCCATCTTGAGCATCTGTTTCGGATCCGGCCCATCGGCACCGCCACCTAGACCGCTCTTCGCACCCCCTCCGCCCATAAGCATGCTCATAAGGCCGCCCATACCCTCTTCCGCCCCTCCGCCGACCCCCCCCGTTCCCGCCCCCATCATGTCCATCAGCCCCGGCATTCCCCCCAAAGCGCCTCCCGCCCCTGCTCCGCTGCCTAGATCTGGGAATCCAGGTGCACCTGACCCGCCACCGCCGCCGAACATGTCGAACAGTCCGCCGCTTCCAGCTGGTGTGCTTCTTGCGGGAGGTGCCATGCTGGCGAGAGCCGTCAGGTGTTTGTCTGCCTTGGATCGGGCAGCTGGAGATTTAGATAGGCAGGGGGGGGGGGGGGGGACATAGGGGCGGTCGGCTGTGCGGTGCGGTTTGGGGAGAAGCTAGCTAGGCTGACAAGGGGTGGTATGAAACGGGCTGAGCATTGGTTGATTTTGAGAGCGAGCGACGAACTTGGTTTGTGATGAGCAACTGCATTGCAACAGGAGGACGCTCGGAATCACAGCAGTCACCTGCTGTACACCAGAGCGTGACGCCGATACTCGAGCCAATGATCCGAAATCGAACACTCCCTCCGGCCCAAAGGCAACATTTTTGATGCGTTAGTCTGTCAGTTTGCAGGCGAACAGCGATACAACACACACACATGTCCCCCAGGCATACATCCCCGAAGGCTACCTCTAAACTCAAATCGATCAGCGCTGCTGCGGTCATCAGTTCACCACATGATGGCGTCGGCACCTGATCGGTCGGCCTCCGTTAGCCAACCTTGTCCCCAGTCCCCAGCTTCCATCTCCGCCATGAGCCCCAAGGCCTTCGCATCCCCCGCCGCGGGCCCAGCCGCTCCACCGTCCTGCACCAGGGTTAACAACACGAACACATACACGAAGAGTGTCTTGAGTGTAACACACTCACAAGTGTGCTTTGAGTGAAATCATACCTTGTTGTGCAAAATTGCATCGCCTACGGTCGCGCGGGCTTTTGGAAATTGTCAAACCCACAAGTCAGGCCATTGGGAGGCATGACTTGACGGTCCCTCTCCGAGAACGAGAGAGCGGCGGTGTTATTGGGCGAGTTTGTGCTTGTGAGCCCTGGCAGTAAGGTTGAGAGTAGACGGAAGCAGCACTTGCATGTGTTGTGTGCATACGGGCATCGATAACCCGAACCCTCTCGTTCTCGTTGAACCAGGCTACACATATATTTGTGAGGTGCTCGCCACTTTCCCAAACCACCGGTTCTACCGAAAACCCACGTTGCACGCATGTATACAGCTGCATCCTAGGCTGACGTGACTCTCCGCTTCACATCCCTTGTCGAAATACTGCTGTAAACAGAGCAGCGCGGTTATTCGAGACACAGCTGTACAGCTGTGCGACCCACACGTGAGAACCTCACGCTAATAAATTAATCTCTTGTTGAGCCTGGACTTGTTATCCTCCAGGTTCTCGAGTGCTGGCGCCGTCCAACCCACATACATACCGAACAGCCCATGGACTCACGTTGGACAGCTCTACCGATAGGTAAGCGTCACGGTAGGCCCGCTGAGCGAGCCGAGACCCCGCGGCCCCGGCCCCCGCCGCCTCCGCCTGCCGCTTTCGTGACATCCCCCGCCTGTAGGAGGCTTTTTGGCGCAGGGGGCGAGGCAGGCCGGGAGTCTTGAGGAGCTGCGAACAGGTGGCCTCGGCCCCGCGAAGATCTCCGCTCTTGAGTGTCGCCGTTGTGGTGGTTTGATGGTTTGATTCGTCGATGCCGTCGTGTGGGTGGACGCATCCCAACCCAAACCGATTTGGATGTCCACGTGCATTGACGGATGGGGGTGGGGATGGAGTGGAGTTCAGGGGCGTTACAAGCGGTCCATGTGCATCTACAGTCGGCAGCGGTGGTAACGTATAACCGGGTCGACAAAGCCTCAACAAGGAAAACGCAAGGGACGGTGCTGCTGCAGCGCACCTCGTTTGATCACCTACAGTAGCTACACCTTGGACGCTGGCTTCAGACCTCGGGCACCCTGCCGCGGATCATGCCTAACGTAAGGTTTTCAAGGCACGCAGGACGTGTTCCCATGAGAAACACTGCCGCGGTTCAAGGCAGCTTCAGACTACAACCAACTACTAAAAGATTATTACGCAAAGCCCGCAACAAAGAACAACCTACTTGTAGAGGTACTAACCTTAGACCAGAGCTCAGCGGTGGATCGTACACTAAACTCTACGATAACCTCCTCGACCATGGCGACGAAATACAAAGTTGAGCCTTGACCACGTTTTTATAAATTGCGGGGCCGTACTACAGTTGTCGTACTACTAACCCAACATACGTGTGGCACACCTTAAGCTGAGAGGCTGCCAACGACAACCGTATCGCGCTCAGAGCAGGTGGGGGCGCCAGCCCTACCCCCGCCTCCTCAAGCAGCTGCGCGGCGCGCGCGAACTCCTCCGCTGCCTCCTCGTACTGCCCTGCCCTGTGCAGTGCCGTCGCTTCCTCCTTGATACGCCGGGCCTGGTCGCCTGGCGACGCCATGGCAACGCCGCCCCCGAAGGAGCCTGCTGCTGCAGCAGCCTGCTGAGCGTGTTCGAGAGCAGTGGGACGGCGTCAGGGAGGGCAGCCGTGAGAGATGGGCGTGGTGCTGCAGAGTAGCGACCAGGGTGGAGCTACAATTTGCAGTCAATCGATGTGCTCCACACTTGGCGTTTGATGAAGCACGGTCGGAAAGAGAGCTTGGCGGCGAATAGGCAAGAAGAGTAGCAGATAGCAATTCCAGCTCTCCAGCACACCTGCGAGAGTGCGAGACCCTGCTGTGGTAGCAGTTGGAGCAGTTGGAGCGGGAGGTACACGTGTGTCTACTACAGGTTGAGGAGTTTCACTGACTGCTCACCTTTCCGCAGCACAGGCATGCCACCAACGCCGCCGCCGCTACAACCGTACGATGCCTATATCTCCGTACCATCGTGTGTGGTTCTGTGTCTCTGTCTCTGCTAGTTGACCAGACTGCTACAGAGACAGCACAGCTTCAGCACCACCGCCGTGCACCTTGGAGCTCCGTCGATCATTTGGCAGTGACATCGGCCACATGGTACCATGTACTTTCTTGCAGCCCTGCGCGATTTGCGTGCCCCCTTTGTGCACCTTCCACCTCCATGACCTCCACACAACATTGCCAGCTGACAGCTGGGCACTCACAGCAGCAGTGCGCCCTGAGCAGACGAGGACAGACGAACGGGCCCACCTCTTGGTAAACCATGGCCATGCGGCGGCCGAAGAAGCTCACCCGTCCGACAGGCTCCTCTTCCGCCTCCCGCCTTGGGCCCGGCATGAAGACGATGGACCTGCGCTTTTCACCTGCGGGAGGGTGGGGCCTAGCAGGAGTTAGCAGCGGCAGCAGGGGCACGACGGGTCCCGCGGCGCTCCCTCCTCGCTGGGTGATATCGTGGGAGGTTGGGCCGGGAGCCACGGTGGACCGTGGGCTAAAGCTGGCGAAGCTGCACTGCGTGGGCGTGGACAAGGATGGGGGCCCAGGCGACACGAAGGAGCAGTTCATCGTGGGTGAGTTGAGTTGCTGTTGCTTTTGGTTGCGTTGGGCAGCTTGCACCACGGCAGGCAACGATGAATGGCATGCAAGCTGAGGGGCAAATGTTCATGTGTGTTTGTGGCGTTTGTCGTATCTATAGGGGCAGCCCTGAGCGCGGCACTGCTGTCATTCGTGCAAAGCCCGATGGCCTTTTTCGTTTGGGACACATATTGTCACCCCTGGTCCAAGGTCACATTGGTTGACATGATCTACGCAATCTACGTAATCTACGTATACAGGTATACAGGTGCCCCCACAAGCGGCCATTTGAATTGGAAGCATGCAATGGCAATGCACACTGCTCTTAGAAGGCGTGTCTCAGGAGAGTAGTCTATGCGCGACTTGCCATTCCTGTGTTTTGCCGCACTCTCAGCAGTGTTCAGGGTATGTATATTGAAGTAGAAGTAAACACAGCAGTGTTGACGACTATTATAAATAAATAGTGCCAATGTGCCAATGCCCGGTGTTGTGCCGGTGTTTCCGGCGGGCACGCACTGAAAAACTAGGTGCAATCTGTACTCTGAAAAGTGCCGGTGGCTCTGAATATTAATATTGCCGGTATGCTGGTGTGGTCCATACTGGCACTACTGAGGGGCCCCCGCTGCATCACTGCATTGCACAGTCAACGTACGTGGTTGCTTTGCATGCACCATGCACGTACATATGTTTGCACCGCACCGTCCCTGCTCTCCCACGTTACGTATTAAGGATGGTAAGCTTGTACTGTCTGTACCTGAATTCTACGATGACAAGAGTCCAGCCGTGCAACCAACCAACCGCAGACGAGGTACGTTACGCCAGACCCATTTCCAGTCAATGGAGGGTATGGTATGCTATGCTACTATAGCTTAGAGCCAAATTCGGTGCTGGTTGCTCCGCTTTCGCCCAGATTTCATCGGGTGTACCTTCCCGTGGCGACGTGTTGTAGGCTTTCGGAGTTGACCTACTGTAAGTACCTCTCTTCTAGTCCTCGAGAGTGCGATGTGTATGGGCTAGGCCGCGGCTGCAATGGTCGTGGTCGTTGCATTGGATGCCCTGTTTTGGCCGGACAAAGATGGGATATATACCATCTTTTGGCCAAGAGGTGATGCCCTTCATGGTGGCTGTTGTAAATAGCCAAGAGAACCCTGCAGCAGGGCTCGCGCAAAACGAGAGCCTTCCTGTCGTACAGCATGGACACAACTTACCAAGGGGTTCTATAAATCTTTGTTCCAAGTGCATACAAAAAAGAAGAAATAGCGTTTTTTTTTTTTTTCTCCCATCATTGGACCCATCCTCCACTTCTACTACCTAGACGACCCAACCGGGGTCACATAGGAGGGGGGGTTGGACCCCCTCCTGCGTTTCCTGCCTGAGATATTTCTATCGCGAGAAGGGTACAACAATCCCTTCCCTCGCGACTTATGAAGTCCATCTAGTTTACTAACAACGAGCTTTGCAGCGCGTCGCTTCCAACTTAGACCAGGATTTATGTAGTGAGAAAAACAACTCACTTTGCCGGGACTCGAACCCATGACCTGGCCATGACCTGGCCCTTAGTAGGCTGCGAGGGCACCCACAAGACCACCGGGGCGACCGGTTGTGTGCCACACTGGTTCGGGCCGAGGGGGAGAATAACACTGTCACGCATGTACTCTGTCTACACGGGTGCTGTTTTGTGTGGTTGGCAGCATCAGGATATCGGTACAGCAGACATGAGGCACACACGCTCGTGCAACACACACAGAATCAACTTAACACCAACTGCTTGTCACATTTGCTAGAGAGAAAGTGGGCGGCGAGGCGGGACAGACAACATGATATCGGGTGGAAGATGCTTGGATGACATTGCTCCTTCGCCGCGCCGAGTCTGTACATATGACGTCACCGCTCTTCATCAACATCCACTCGTTTCCTTTTTCCCTTCCCTCATCCAGCCTAAGCGTATCCCTGTCCCCCATCGCGCCTTGGCCTTGTTTCACAGCACCCCGCGAGGGCATCCTGACGGAGCTGTTGGTGCCGACCGGCGGGCAAGTATCCCCAGGACAAGGCTGCCCCGACCAAGACGTCCCCGCCGCCGATAGCGCCTCGTCAAAGACACCAGCAGCAGCAGCAGTAGCAGCAGCAATCCGCACGGACGATGGAGCTGAACCCCAGGCCAGTGGCGAAGGGGTTGTTGTGGGGCGTATCAGCTTCTGCGCGCACCAGGAGCTGCACGGGACCTTGTGCACCAGCTGCGGGCGCGTCGTCTTGCCGCAGTCGGAGAACGGTAGAGGTAGAGGGCAAGGCGGTGCCGGCGGCGGTGGTAGCGGTGGCGGTAGCGGGGAGCGGCAGGAGGAAGGCGGGGGTGACACACACCAGGTCTTGATGAAGGGCGGAAAGATGATGTCGGTCACCGCTGAAGGTGGGACGAAATTGCCTATTAGTTTTTCTGTGCTTTTGTCGTGGTTGGGAGTTGAGTTGCGTTACAGTTTCTTCCACGGCGATATCTCGGTGCCGTGCACCGGAAGGGTGTCCGCTGGAGTATCAGTATGAGGGGACTGGCCTGTTTTCGTGCTTTGTGAAAACTCTCTATTTTCAGTAGATCGTGTTGTGTTTTTGACAGCTTTTCCTGTTGTTGTGAATTTTGTGAATTTTTACGGCACAAGCTCTCTGCGCCTAAGTGTTGCATTGACATATTGCTGGGAGTCAAGATTGCTAGGGAAGATTGCCGGAAATTTCGGCGTCGATACACTTGAGCAAATATCCGTGAAGATTCGTGGCGGCTTGGTTTCGACGTCCTGAGTTTGTGGCCGCTCCCGTGTTTGCCTTTTGTTTGTTGTCAGGCCGTCGGATGATGCACATGAACAAGTCGGGCAGGCTCCTCAACAGCAAGAAGCTGTCGCTAGTGTTGGATCTTGATAACACGCTGCTACACTGCTCCGATCACCCGGATGCAGGAAGGTGAGTTGAGTCCAATATTCCTTGCCAGCGGCACCCGTTGGCCATTCCCATGCCATCGACCTTCAAAGGGGAAATAGTAGAACCGGAAAATTCTGGTTGATTTGCGTGGCACATATAGCAAGCGCCGAGGCCATGGCCTTGCAGTATTTCTCATTGCCTGCCAACCGATTTTCCGGCTGCTACCGTTTTATTCCATGTACATCCCCCACACCAACACCATGTACACCACGATTTCTAGGGGTAGGAGTGCATGTGAGACACATGCCAGACTGCTCTATACCGTCACGATTGCCGTTTTCATCACTAACACCACTGCCGTGTATGACACACTACAATTTCCAGGGTGGTCGTGCCAGGAGTGGATGGGATACACGCCCTTAGGCTCCCTAACCAGCAGCGAGAGTACTACATCAAGCTCAGGTATGCATTTAGAATTTGCACACGTATTTCTTCCACGCTGCACCTTTTAGATTCAAGTAGACATCCCGGACGGCCAAGGGATGTAGTGACGAACTCGTGGTACAGCAGTGTTGAAAAAACAACATCAACGGCGGCTGCGAACCCACCAGCCGGATACGGTGGGCGACAGTAAACGCTTGACTTGCTGATCATGTCTGCTGTGGTGTGTGCTGCGTGTTTTCTTTCTTTTGTTAGGCCCGGCCTCAGACGATTCTTGGCGCAGGCGGCGACGATGTTCGAGATGACCATTTACACCGCCGGAACTTCGCAATACGCAGATGCGGTGAGATTTTTCTGCTGCTGTTGTTGCTGTTGGTGGTGGTGATCGTACATGCGTACGGAGAGAAACAAGTATCATCAAATGATTACCCAACACTTTGGCACCCGCTCTCAAACGCCGCCTGGTTCTCCTTCTTTGCCACCATCGGCAAGCGGATGTGGTGACTGCTGCCACCTACTGCCCCCATGGCCATGATCGATATGATCTATCATCGGTGATGCTGGTTGTGGCATCCCCAGCTTTCCGAGCCGGAGCGGTGGTGCTAACCTATTTAGGCGCGTGCGTGGGGTTTCTCCTTGTCCCGACGGTCGTGATCAGGTGGCGAGTGTGCTTGACCCCGACCGGAGCCTGTTTCAGGGCCGACACTTCTCGACGTGCTACACGCCAGACCTAGGCCGCAACACCAAGGTAAAGCTGCGAAGCGAACGCGCAGGTGCTGTAGGCGAAGCCTTTGCCGCCTCTCTCTCTCTCTCTCTCTCTCTCTCTCTCTCTCTCTCTCTCTCTCTCTATTGGGATTTATGCTGTAGTTCACCCCATTGTTTGTCCAAGGATAGTATTGGTTGCCTTTTCGG